GAATTGCCGTTTGGCGCCCCCAACATGTATCTCTTGAGAGCCTCATGGTCACAAAACGCTGCCAGGGGCATCATTTGGGAGCCCCAAGGGGGAGCCACCCTGGCTGATCTCACGAGCCCGTTCGCGCCGATTTTGGTGGGACGCCTCAGCTAGAATTGCCGTTTGGCGTCCCCAACATGTATCTCTTGAGAGCCTCATGGTCGCAAAACGCTGCCAGGGGCATCATTTGGGAGCCCCAAGGGGGAGCCACCCTGGCTGATCTCACGAGCCCGTGTACGAGAGCGAGAGAGAGAGAGAGAGAGAGAGAGAGAGAGAGAGAGAGAGAGAGAGAGAGAGAGAGAGAGAGAGAGAGAGAGAGAGAGAGAGAGAGAGAGAGAGAGAGAGAGAGAAGAGAGAGGGAGTTGAGGAGAGAGGCAGCGAGAGAGAAGAGAAGAAGGGAGAGGAGAGAGAGAGAGGAGATTGAGAGAGAGAAGAGAAGAGAGAGAGAGAGAGAGAGAGAGAGAGAGAGATGAGAGAAGATTGAGAAGAGAGAGAGAGAGATAGAAGAGAGAGAGAGAGGAGAGAGAGATAGAGAAAGAGAGAGAGAGAGAGAGAGAGAAAGTGGAGAGAGAGAGGGGGGGGGGGGAGAGAGAGAGAGAGAGAGAGAGAGAGAGAGAGAGAGAGAGAGAGAGAGAGAGAGAGAGCGGGAGAGAGCGAGAGAGAGAGAGAGAGCAGAGAGAGAGAGAGATAGCGGGAGAGAGCGAGGGAGAGCGAGAGAGAGCGAGAGAGAGCGAGTGAGAGCGAGAGAGAGAGAGAGAGAGCGAGAGAGAGCGACAGAGAGCGAGAGAGAGCAAGAGAGAGCGAGAGAGCGAAAAAGAAAGAGAGAGAGAGAAGAGAGAAGAGAGAGAGAGAGATAGAGGGAGAAAGAGAGAGAGAGAGATAGAGAGAGAGAGAAGAGAAGAGAAGAGAAGAGAGAGAGCGAGAGAGAGAGAGAGAGGGAGAGTGAGAGAGAGAGGAGAGAGCAGAGAGAGAATAGAGAGAAGAGAGAGAGGAGAGAGAGAGAGAGAGAGAGGCAGAGATAGAGGCAGAGAGAGAGGCACAGAGAGAGAGGCAGAGAGAGAGAGAGAGGCAGAGAGACAGAGGCAGAGAGAGAGGCAGAGAGAGAGAGAGAGAGGCAGGGAAAGAGAGGCAGAGACAGAGAGAGGGCAGAAAGAGAGAGAGAGAGAGAGAGACAGAGAGAGCAGAGAGAGCAGAGAGAGAGGCAGCTCAGTCACACGTAAATCCAGATTCGTCCTCACCGAGTCCCACCACCAAGGGAGCGCCAGCAGGAGATGCACATATGGGGAATCCCCACGCGTGAATAATGTTGTTGTTGTTGTTGTTTGTGTTGTTGTTGTTGTTGTTGTTGTTGTTGTTGTTGTTGAACATTATTTATTCTAAAGAATAATTATTGTTGGGCCCCCTGGTGCGCGCCCCCCCTGCGCCGCCTAGGCCGCAGCTACATTTTCATCACTTTCGTGAGGAAGCCTCACGTAAAACGATGTGATCCAGATCCGGCTGTTTTGTTGTAATCCGTTTTCCCTTGCAAAAAACACTATAAAATGACATTTCTTGTTCTAATATAATCAAATTTCAAGAATCCCTTGCAAAAAATAAGGTAAAGTGGACATTCGCGCGCGCAAGACGAAATCCTTCCAAAAGCTTAGTGTTCGGAGCGATTTTAACATAAAATCATCAAAAAACCAATGGTTTTTCAAAAAAAAATGTCAAAATCTCATCCCGCGCGCTCTTGCGGATTCGTAGGAAACCCAACACTTTTTAAACATTTCTGTCAAACGGGCTTTTGCGAGCAACTTTTCGAACTTCTGCAACAACGGTTGCGCACCTGCCAGGGCCATCATCCCTGTCAAATAATACCATGCGGGACACATTCGTTTTTTCTTCGCGCGCGCACGCCGTCGTCGTCGGCCGCGGGGCCCTGAATAGTAGCCACGGTCGTCCGCATGCCACGAAGTGAAGTGTCCGAACGTCATAGGGCGGGAAGCTGGGTGTGGGTGGTGGCGAAGAGTCGTTTGGAAATTTGGTAGAGCTTGAACCGGCCCCCCCACAAAGTGGGGGTATTGCCCGCCTCCTATGAAAACCCTGGCACTGGTGAGAACGGAGTGTCCCCACGTGCTAGTAATTGTTGTTGTTGTTGTTGTTGTTGAGTTCTCTTGCCAGAGGTATATCTACAATCTATTATATTCCGATTCCAATTTTTTAATTACCTGGACCCCCCCCCCCCGGACCCCCCCCTTAAACCGGACCCCCCTCCAAGGGACGCTCCGGACGTCTCGGCGGCCCCCTGGACGCCCTTGGAAAAGGTTCGGTGGCCCTTCCGGGCCTCCCAGGGCGCCTCGCTGGGCCTTGCGAGCCGACTGAAGGCGATTAGAGGGGTCGTCGGAGAGGCGCAAGAGAGACCCAAGACAGCACAACAGCGCTCCAAGAGGAACCTCGATGGTCTGAAGACGGCCCAAGAGGCCGCCAAGACACCCCAAGAGGCCGTTAAGAGAGCCCCGAAGAAACCAAAATCGTCACATTCCCTCCGGAAATACATTTTGTTGTGCATATCCGCTTTTTGGGTCTTCGCAGCGTCCAAGACGGCCCAATGGGCCCCCAATCTCGGCCTGAGACGGCCCGGGAGGCCCCCTAGAGGGTTTGAAGGCGGCCCAAGGGGGCCCCAAGACTGCCCCAGAGAGTCCCGAGACTGCCCACAAGAAGCCCAAGATGCCCCCAGAAGGCTCCCAAGAGAGACCCACGAAAGCCATGGCATACTTCCAAGAACGCCACTGGCTGGAGGCCCGCAAGAGGGCCCTAGATGGCTTCAGAAGACCTCTGGAGGGCCCCAGCTCCCCAAGGCGGCCCAAGAAGCCCCCAGGACGGCCCAAGAGTGCCCCAGGACGGCACAAAAGAGCACCAAAAACGACCAGACGGCGTTCTCCTACGAAATACATCAGGCTGACCCGACGATCTTGGTTCCATGCTTGAGGCTCGAGGTTTCAGTAGCTCCCCGATCGAGAGAGACAGGCAATGGATCTAGATTCGAAATTCGACGATCGACGATTTCCTGAGTGCCTGGAGCCCTCCAGGCATTCGGGAAACGATCAAAAATCGATGTGTTCGGAGCTACTGTGACTTCTTCGGCGTGTCATGGGAACGCTCCTTACTTCCTCAAAGGACCTTCGCGCGCGAAAAAATCAGCATGATTTCCCACTCCTGCGCACAAGCGTGCCAGCGCATCGTCCGAAAGCGGTGTCAGCAGGCACCCGGGATATCGGAAAAATGGGCGGGTCGCCCGTCCAGGCCTCGAGGTCCTCCCTGCTGAAGAAAACGATGATTTATTGCTTTGCCAGGGAAGCGTCCGGAACAAGGCGCATGGCGCGAAGCGCCAATGCAGTCTCGTATATATATATATATGTATTATTATTGATAAACCCTCTGGTAAAAAATAAGTTTTCTTATTTGAAATGCTTCTCCCGGAGCTCGTACCTTGTTGTCTACATGGGAGAGGTCAGAGCTCCAGATTGGGCCTCTGGCTCCCAAACTACAGCAATACCGGCTCCCGCTTGATACGTCCGCACAGTTTAGGAGGCTTCCATGCAATTTATCCAGGAATCGCGCTCTTGCTGGAGACCTCCTCACAATGTATTCACGAATCACTCCCTCGGCGCTCTGGACTCGCGCTCTCGCTAGGAACGTCGACATACTTTACGCAGGAACCGCGCTCTCGCCTGAGACTTCCTTGCCATCCCCTCTTGCTAAGCCCTGTTGCTAATCCGTCTCGTCCTCCATCTCTCCGTCCCCTTGCCCCCTTCCCTCCTCCCTCCCTTCCCCCTCTCCCTTCCTCCTCCCTTGTCCATCCCTTCAGTTTTTTCGTTTTCGGGGCTGCGCCAATTACGCGGGACAGGGAATATAGATATCACCCCCAATGGGGTACGATCAAAGAAGGAAAGGGCGGGGAACGAGAATTCGGGAGATACATGTTGGTTGACACGCGAGCATATGAGAGTGAACATTATTAACATGATTGTCGATGTTGTTGATGCTGCTGCTGATGACGACGTCAATGATGATGATGCTGACGATGATGATGATGATAATGAAGATGATAATGCTGATGATGATGATGATGATGATGATGATGATGATGATGATGATGATGATGATGATGATGATGATGTTGATGCTGATGATGGTGGTGATGGTGGTGGTGATGTTGATGGTGGTGGTGGTGATGATGGTGATGGTGGGGATGGTGCTGGTGATGGTGGTGGTGATGATTATGGTGATGATGCTTGTGATTGTTATGATAACGATGAGGAGAAGGACGAGGGTGACGAGGAATAGCAGGCATAGGATTGCGAGGTTGGTGGGGAGATGGAAAAGGAGGAAGGGAGGTGCAGGAAGCAGATGAAAGGGAGGGAGGAAGCGGGGGGAGGGTTCAGGACTATGAGCTCAAAGTGGAGGGAAAATGATGATGAATGGGAAGAGGAGAGGGATGATGATGATGATGATGATGATGATGATGATGATGATGATGATGATGAGGAGGAGGAGGAGGAGGAGGAGGATGGCTTGGATACTGTCGAGGGAGAAGGACGAGTAGGATGAAGAGGGCAAAGAGTGGGAGGTGGTGGTGGATGACGAGGAGGGGGAATGGTGATGATGATGATGATGATGATGATGATGATGATGATGGTGATGACGATGATGATAATTCCGATGATGATGATGATGATGATGATGATGATGATGATGATGATGATGATGATGATGATGGCGACGCATGATGGTGGTGGTGATGATGACGATGGTGATTCTGATGATGATGACGATGATGGTAATGATGATGGTGATGATGTTGATGGTGATGACGATAACGATTGCGTTGAGGAGGGGGAGGAAGAGTCTGACGATATTGAGTATAAACATGATCATGATATTGATCACTCGGAGGGAACATGAGCAGCGGCAGCTGCCAGGACATGCCGAATGAGGTCCTCAAGCTAATGAACGGATTGAAGCCGATCGTGTCGCTGGGGAGTCTCTTGCGGCAAGATGTTGTGGCTATTTTGCGAGCGGGGCTGAAAGCAGCGAGTTCGGACTCAGTGAACTTCCGGTGGCACCCCATCTGGAACACGTTCGTATCGGATCTCAGGAGATTTGGAACGAATCGCTCCACCATCCCCAATCGACACGTAGTATGCTTGTCGCTTTCACTATTCCTATTTCCCAGGGTGGTCCCCACAGCCCCACCTTAGAGCCACGACTCCTTCGCAAAAGGATACATGGGAAGTTGCCGTGTTGAGTTCTCCCAGCCGTACTCTTCGGCTTAATTTCCCAGGGTGGTCCCCACAGCCCCACCTTAGAGCCACGACTCCTTCGCAAAAGGATACATGGGAAGTTGCCGTGTTGAGTTCTCCCAGCCGTACTCTTCGGCTTAAGATGCATGACCAGAGGAAAGCGGTGGAGCACCCGGCGAGTTCCGCGCTGGACATGATCGGCAGAGGCCCAGTCACGGACTTCGTGCACAAGCTCTTGTGGTCCCTCCGCAACTCCGAGCTCGACCCAGACGATCTCGACCTCAATCTTGCGATCTTCATCTCCCAGCTGCAGTATCGGCTTCAAGAATTCAGGCAGACCCCGGACCGCCAGCACGGATGGAAGTGGGCCCACCTCGCGGGCAGGTCCGTAGCCGAGTTCCTCTTTCGATCCTCCTCTCCCTCGAGCGTTTGTGTTCGATGACGCCCTACCAAATCACGGCTTGCTTTCTTATAAGTCAATGCCCACAGTCTGATTGGAAAGATGATACTATCGTTTTTGGTTCTGAGCGTATCCCCACCATCCCATCCAGAAACAATGCCCAGGGGAGTTGTCTGGAGGAGGGGCGTATGCAAGCATATAGTGAAGCAGGGAGGCCAACACTGGTGAAGGTAGACCTCGGGGAGCCTCATGGAGCCATTTTGGGAGCATTTTGGAAGCCTCTGAGGCTCTCTTGGGGCTCTCTTGAGACTCTCTTCAGGGGCTTTCTTGGGGACCCTTTGAGTGCCTTGGAGGCCCTCCTGGGGCCATCTGAGAGGCCATCGATCCAAGAACTTGGCATCGCTCGGATGTGCAGTTTTTCTTGGCGAGGGCCATCGAGGAGCATGTTTGATTATCTCATGGAAAAATGCACGCACGAAATCGAACAATGCACAGGGAATGGACGTCCGAGCGATGGCGAGAGAAAAGGGGATTCTTAATTTCCCCCCCCCCGTCGGAGGCTGACAATTTCCTCTGGAGGCTCTCTGGGGCGCTCTCGGGGCCGTCGTGGAGCCATCCTGGGCCTTCTTGGGGATCTCGTGGACCATCTTGAAGCCACCGGAGACCTTTAATGCAAATCGGAAGCGAAAAGGCGAGACGGCAAAGCTCATCGATTTAATAGGCTTCCGTCATTTCGCCCACCCTCTATGAGTCAGGAGTAGGCTCGGAGGAGCAGGAATCATATGAAGAGGAATCTAAAAGGAAAACTGTGAAGACGAGACAGATAAGGAGGAGGAGGAGGAGGAGAAGGAGAAGGAGGAGGAGGATGAGGAGGAGGAGGAGGAGGAGGAGGAAGAGGAGGAGGAGCGCATGGCACAATCGCATCCGTTTCGGCACACCCCTCACACGTTTCGTGGCCCCATCGGGAGCTCCACCGAAGGCCCCAGTGGCAGCGCTCGCATGGCACCGCCGCGTGTCGGCATTCCCTACCAGCCCCATTTCGGCGCACCCCTCACGCGTGCCGTGGCCCCACTGGGAGCCCCAGCCAAAGCCCAAACGCCAGGGTCCACATGGCGGCGGGCGCCGCCTAATTTCGGCACACCCGTCACAAGTATCGTGGCCCCATAGGGAACTCCACCGACACTCCAAACGCCAGGTTTAGCCTGGCGGGGCCACCCCTCATACGTTTCGTGGCCCCATGGGGGGCTCCACCGAAAGCCAGGGGCACCGCCCGCATGGCGCCGCCGCTTCATTTCGGCATACCGCTCACACATTTCGTGGCCCCATAGGGAGCTCCACCGAAGGCCCTAGTGGCACAGTCCGCAGGGCGGCGCCGCACTCATCTCGGCACACCCCTCACACGTTTCGTGGCCCCATTGGGAGCCCCACCGACGGCTCCAGTGGCACAGTCTTCATAGTGGCGCCGCATCCATTTTGGCCCACCATCACACGTTTTGTGGCTCAATTGGGAGCTCCACCGAAGGCCCCAGGGGCAGCGCCCGCACGGCACCACCGCGCCCGATTCGGCACACCCCTCACACGTTTCGTGGCCCACAGGTAGTTCCACCGAAGGCATCAGGAGCAGCGCCCGCGTGGCACCACTGCGTCCATTTCGGCACACCCCTTCACACGTGTTTTGACCCCATGAGGAGCTCCAAATAAGGTCCACATGCAAGGGTCCGCATGGCGGCGCCGCTTCACTTCACAACACCGCTCACACGGTTCGTGCCAACCACGGCCCAAACGCCAGGGCCAGCATGGCGCCGCCGCTTCATTTCGCAACACCGCTCAGACGTTTAGGGCCCCATACGCAGGGAGCTCCCGCTAATGCCCAAACGCAGTGGTCCGCATGCCAGGGCCGCCTGATTTCGGCGCACCCCTCACACGTATCGTGGCCACGTATGCAGCTCCAACTAAGGCCCTGATGCCAGGGTCCGAATGGCGGTGCCGCTTCATGTCCGCACACCCCTCACCCATATCGTGGCCCCATCGGAAGCCCCAGCTAAGGCGCAAGTGCCAGGGTCCGCATGGCGGCGGCGCATCATGTCGGCACACCCCTCGCGTTTCGTTGCCCCACAGGGGGCTCCACCGACCGTCCCAGCAGCAGGATCCGCATGGCGTACCCGCTCCCTATTTGGTACGCCCATCGCGCATTTTCTGGCATCATAGGGAACTCCAAGCAAGGTCCAAATGCCAGGGACCGCATGGCGGTGCCGCCTCGTTCTGGCTCACCGCTCACCCGTTTCGTTGCCCCATGGGGAGCTCCACCGAGGGCTCTAGTGGCACAGTCCGCATGGTGGCGCCGCACTCATCTCGGCACACCCCTCACACGTTTCGTGGCCCTATCGGGAGCCCCAGCTAAGGCGCAAGTGCCAGGGTCCGCATTGCGGCGCCGCACCGCTTCGGCACACCCCTTCACACGTTTCGTGGCCCTCTGGGGGGCCCCACCGAACGTCCCAGCAGCAGGATCTGCATGGCGCACGAGCTCGCGATTCGGCACGCCCCTCGCGCCCTTCGTGGCCTCATAAGAGGCTCCACCAATGGCCCAGTGCCAGGCTCCGCATGGCGTACCCCCCCCACATCTGGCGCACCCTTCACGCGTTCCAGGAGAAGCGCGGCAGTCCGTCATTTTGCTCGCCTCCCTAATTCTTCAGACTTGCCTCGCGGTACTCGCAGCTTCATATGTGGGGCCCTTCGCCAGGATAATTTGTCAATGACGGCGGGGGGGGACGTTTCTCATGGTTCTTGGTTGGCGGCTGGTCGATTGGGGGAGGGGGTGTTCACTAAAATGGAGCAGTGATAGTTCCCTCCTCCAGTGACGCAAGGCTTGCAGAAAGGAGCTTGGGATTGATGTCACGAGGGGCCCCCAAGCGAGGCATCGGTTTCGGTTTCAGTTTCGGTTCGTGCCGTGCGTGCGAGCGAGGCGAAGCTGTGCGAGGGCGATGATGTGCTGGCCAAGGCTCGGGCCAAGTCGGATGAGAAACGTTACTCCCGTGGGTTGTTTCGTGGTTGTCCCGTGGTTGTCCCGTGGGTTGTCCCGTGGGTTGTCCCGTGGGTTGTCCCGTGAGTTGTCCCGTGGGTTGTCCCATGGGTTGTCCCGTGGTTGTCCCGTGGGTTGTCCCGTGGGTTGTCGCGTGGTTGCCCCGTGGAGTCGTCCCGTGGGTTGTCCAGTCGTTGTTGTCCCGTGGGTTGTCCCGTGGGTTGATCCGTGGGCTGTCCCGTGGGCTGTCCCGTGGGTGTCCCGTGGTTGTCCCGCAAGGTGGTTCCGTGGTTTGTCCCGTAGATGGTCCGGTCTTTGTCACGTGGGTGT